CTCCAAAAACGTTTTCCGGAGACCACTTGTATTGGGGCTATGTAGACCGATATTGCCCATTTCAATACCAATGGGTTTAAAAGTTATATGAGTTTTTATTTCTGTACATTTACAATTTCCATAGGAAATGAGAGAATTAAGGTTTAAATGCCGAATAAAGTAAAAATTACCGCAGACCATCAAATTAATGTTATAAATATGGTGGTGAATAATATATGAAATCATGTCTTATATTCTTGAAATATTGGAGGTCATAGGTCAAAATAATAAATTTTTTGAAATATCTCCATTTTCATACATCCTACGAATTTAGGAGTCATTACAAATTACAATTTTAGTGAATTAAATTTACGAAATTTTGATTTCTACCATTCTAAAATTTTTACATAGCAATAACAATAAGTTTGTTAAAATCGGATAACTGGTTCCAAAGTTATTCAGTCATCAACATTTTTAATTTTGAACAAAAATACCCGAGATGCCCTACTTTAGAGGACCGTAAATTATGAACCGAATAAATAAAGGATGTATGTACGTATGTATGTATGTATGTATGTATGTATGTATGTATGTATGTATGTATGTATGTATGTATGTATGTATGTATGTATGTATGTATGTATGTATGTATGTATGTATGTATGTATGTATGTATGTATGTATGTATGTATGTATGTATGTATGTATGTATGTATGTATGTATGTATGTATGTATGTATGTATGTATGTATGTATGTATGTATGTATGTATGTATGTATGTATGTATGTATGTATGTATGTATGTATGTATGTATGTATGTATGTATGTATGTATGTATGTATGTATGTATGTATGTATTCAAATCCTCTTAAATATAATACGTACCCATAATACGTACCCATGTACATATGAATGGTAGATATGTATAACTGTATACGTATCTATGCGGCATTTTCAAGTATAAATTTTATTAAAAATAAACTAACTTTTAAATAAATATTTAATTTCTTCTACTCTTTGCGGAGATTTGGTTAAAACTTTAGCCATTTTCATTTTATAAACTAATTACTAAAGTTTTATTGGCATCAAAAATCATTTAAGTCCATCGACAACTATTCACGTCAACATCATCATATATATACATATGTATGTACATAGTTTCCAACACCCATAAACACAGTCCTTGGATGATAATATTTGGTGCCAATTCATTCTTCTTACCTGTTTGGATAGTTTACGAAATTCTTTCAAGAAGCTCTCTACACCCTCAGTCAATACGGAAGGATCCAAATCGGCCCACAAAGTTTTCGACCATCCTTCACGAGCTGCTTTTTGGCTTTTGTATAATTTGTAAACCTAAGAAAAACAACAAGAAAAGTGAATTAAATGAATAAGAAAAACAAGAAATGCAAAGGTGATATTCAATCAACTTCAGGAGGTTACTCTTATATTATCCCAGCAAAAACTCGGTAATGGGTTGTACTTCCATAACCACTTACTTTTCAATGACTATTACTTACCGTCTGCATTACATAGAAGTACTCTAGTAACGACTTTCTTATAATCTGATATAGAAGTACTTTATTTTCGGCTTTGTCATTTTGTTTGCACATTTTATTTAATTGCGTTTTAAGAATTGTGTTTTAAAAAAATAAAAAAAAAATTAGTTTTGTTTGTGAAAACCATTATTTGACGCGCAATAAAATAGCTAAGCAGTGGTGCAGTGTGTAGAACATTTGACTAACAAACCGAAGCCCCTGGTTCGTATTCTAGCTGGCTCTTTTTATTATTAAAAAACAAAACAACTTACTCAACAACTGTTTTGTAAGGGAAATTGCAAGTACTTCTTTAAGTCCCTATTTGTAAGCATGCGTAGAAGTACTTGCCTCCAATGACATCACCGTGTTAAAATAATGACTTAAAATGCTAATGAAGAAGTAGTGAAAAGAGGTTTTATTAGCTATTTAACTCATTACTTTTCAATGTAAGTTTTTCCTGGGATGTTTAGCTTTTCCTTCATATCTTTTGCTTTCCTTCCACAACAATAAGGGGGGAAGGACGGTGGACAAGGGGACGACGTATCCAAAGATTGAAAGGAAGTTTACTCAACAGCTACACAAATAATTTAATTGAAAAATTAAACTTTATCTGTGTGCTAAATAGGAAAAAATTTTTATGAACATTTTCCCCACAGTCCTTGTCGAATTCATTTATTTGTACTATCCGCAGTAGTAGTAGTATAAATGTGAGTTCTAACAGAAGTTCTACTGAAAGTGGTATTTAGTTGTTCTTAACTCACAATTTGCATGCCTTCGTAGTCGTCTTTAATACGTGAAAATTCATTGTAATCTTGCATGGGCATATCAAAAAGTTTCTCAGCGTTGGCTAAAACACAAAACAAAAAGAAAATAAAGAACAGAAGGGATTATAAAGAAGAAAAATAGAATGAGTAAATACAATTAAAAGTAATAAAAAAGTTTTGCTACTTTTTCTCATTTACGTATGTAAATGCACGCACTCAATTCAAATGAATATTGGTCAGTAAAGAATAGGCGTATGTTAAAGGTTGAAATTATATAAAGTTGCTTAAAAACTGTATTTTTTACAAATTCTTTAATACTTTTTTTATACAATGAAAACGTACATTGTTTCGAGTTAAGCAATGATTATTTGGAACAAATTTTGTTGAAGGGAGTTAATTTTTTACTTAGGTGTATTTTTTCGGATTTCATGAGACATATGTATCCTTTCAAAGTAACTAACTTATAATTCAAAACGAAAATATTCCAATATTAAATTTAAATAAGTTTTAAAGTATTTTACAGTTCATCGAACGGTCTATCTTACCCAGTTCTTGTCGTCTTGCATCAAATTCATGTATTTTCTGACCATAAGACTCCATCAGCTTTGAGCCTCGATCTAAATCCCCAGTCACTGATCCTGGTCCATTTTTTTCAAAGTCAATAATAAATTCTTGAAGCTAAAAAGACAAAAGTTACATATTAAGTTATGTATGTATTTCAAACAAATTAAAATAATTCAATTGTAGAATTTTGGGCTTCAATTGATAACAGGAAATAAGAGCGATATACTATGACCTAAAACTATGTATAAGTGGGTTAAAAAATGCAGCCGATGTAATAATCATATAATAATTTGCCTTAAGAGCGAAAAGCCATGTTGCTATTTTTTTTTTTCAAAATAGAGGAAGAAAAAAATAGAAAACTGCACAAGTAGCAGATGTGATTGTCGATCTTAATGCGTATAATAAACACTTTAAGTTAATTCGTTTTTCTTGGTATCAACAACTTGAAAGAAAGTTTTATTTTTTATTGTTGTATAACTGGTATGGAAACGAAGCGAAAAGCAAGAACGGAATAGTAGTCTACGGAGCAAAAAATGCATTCCTTTTCTATATGGTACTGCTTTTATGAAAAGTTTAACAAAAACGGATAAGGATGCGGTGCACAGTGGGCTATTCTACCATAAGGCGGTCAAAAATATATAACCTTTGATGGGATTGCCACGCGGTTTTTGTGGGTAGGTAAAATCGACACTTTACTTAGAAAAAATGTTATGGAGGGTTAAATATACACTTAAATTCTTTGCTGAATTTAGGATAAATTTAAAAGTAAAAACATAAATTATTTTTGGTAATATTTTTTTATGCAGTTTATTTTACAACTAATATTTAAACACTATAACTTAAATATTGTCAGAAAATGCCAAACTTTGGTTCTCTAAAACTTTTGAGCTCTACAATTCAAAGGGGCCAAAGGTTTATTTTTTGAGGTTAGAGTTCTTTGTGCAAAATTTTAACATTCTAATAATAGTTTCCAAGATAAACGAATTTTTGTATTGAATTAGTATGGGGGGTGCTACGCCCCCCGCTCCTGGTTCGGCCACTTTTTGTCCTAAATAATCGTATATACATTAAAGTGGCTCCGACAATATTTGAGGACTCTAATTGTTATATTTTCTCAGATAAAAAAAAATTTTCCGCAATCTTTTCGAAATGGTTCTCCAAAATTCCGTAATTTTGAACTTATTGCTGGAATAACTATAATATTTTTGTTAAAGTATTTCTGGTCCGCAAAAAAACAAATTATACTGGGGTCAAAATTTTAAATCGCTGGTAGGGAACTGAGGACCATTCGAAAAAAATATTTTTTATTTTTCTTGTGTTCATTACATTAGATAGGTATTCCTACATGGAATTTTTTAAAAGGCTGTTCCTCGGGACACTCTAATGTGTTGTGCGTTCCTTTTCATTAAAAAAATAGTTCACTAACCCCCATTTTCACATTTATTAGTTATTTTTTAACTTTAAGATATATTGACAGTTCTCATACAAAAATTGTCTTAACTGGAAGAATAACTACCAGTTAAACGATAACTGGAGGTGGTGAAATGGGGGGTTAGTATATTATTTTTCAAATTCAAAAACTCAGTTTCCTGAACGTAATTCCTAAGAATTTTCCAATCAGTGTTAGTCAGGAATCACATCACTTCCAGGATATGTGGATCTAACTGCGACGAATGCCTGACAGTGGCAAAGAAAGTGCTCCAGAGTTTCACTGTCCTCTCCTCATGCTCTACATTCGTCTCAATCCGCATGGCCAATTTTGTATAGATGTGCTCGTAATCCAGTGCGTCCACTTAGAATACGGAATACCATCATACTAACTTTGTTCTCATCAGGGTCACCCCATAGCATCTTTGTGGCTGTCGGTAAATATATTAAGGGCTGTGGGCGCCGGTTCGCCTAAAGTAAAGAGCCGTTCGGCTATAAGCGCCGCTTCATATCTTAAACATGTTTCAATGGGTGGAATATCTAGCAACGTTTCTAGAGCTTTGGTTGAAGTAATATACTTGGCACCACTTATACCCAAGCAGCATGTACGCTGAACTCCCTCTAATAGTTTGATATTACACTTTTTGTCCAAAGCAGTCCACCAGATTATTGAAGCAAATACGTTATAGTATGTATATATTTATGGAACATATATGGTTATATAAATATGAGCCCGTTGTTAGGATCGTTTTTTTTTTTTTCGTTTTATACATTTTTTATTTATTCTATTTTTATTTATTCTAAATTAAGTTCTCTTTCCGGATCATATATAATTTGTATTTAGTCTTGAAGAAAATTTGTTTCTATAGAAGACTTTTTTGGAAAAAAAAAAAAAAATTAGAGTTTACATGTTGCAACTTTGGATGCGTCTATCTTTTTATAGGAACAAAATAACTGTTGAAAAGTTGTTCTTCTTTTATTTAGAAATTTATTTTCTCAATTTTAAATTTCAGATCATAAATGGATTTTTGGCGATTTAAAAAATAAAACCCAGATGATCGACTATGAGGGCCTACCCACTAGCCCCCATTCTGTCAATCGACCCGAAAACATCTCAGCTCCAAACATGGGAAATTTCATTGCGATATATCCAATAGTTCCAGAGATACCGACTTATTTCCAAAAATAAAAGTTTCTAAACCACTGTGCGCTGAATTACTTATTTAGAGAATGGGAATGGAAAAACATCAACAATATGAATGTAGAGAACACAGGAACTACGGAAACCACACTATTGCTTCTTTATATAATTGACAGTATTAATAGTGGGGGTAGAGGGTTAAAGATAGAATGAGTATTATACATATAATGATTTGTTTTACAAATGCAATAGGTTTGGGTGGTAGTATTTGCTGCCTGTATGTCTGACTAACTATAGAAAATAAAATAAAATCCAATTAAATTCCTATTGTATTGAAATTGCAAATAAAGAAGGAAAAAATCTGAACGGAATCAAAGCAAAACGCATAAAGTCGTATAAAATAGTTTTTAAACGCTGTATACTTTCAGACTTATTTATCATTATATATATTAATAAAATAATACCAACAATTATACATAAATATTTATGTAAGTATGTTTGTACTTTGTGGTAACAATATTACAATTATAAAATCAAGAAAGTAATATTACAAATACGTACGTACCTCTTTCCAAAATCCAGATATTTCTACTGATGTCATATCGGCAAATTTCTGTTTAATCGGCTGCAACTTATCCAAACGGTACAGTGATGAACGATATAAACGCGTCCATCGTTTCTCCAAATGATGTGCCATGAGCATGTCTTCGAAATTAAACTGAAAGCACCATAAATTATTAAAAGAGAAAATAAAGTTTCTGAAAAAATAGCTAAAATATCTTTTTATATTATTCTTAAAAGATTGTGATTTTTCGCTAAAATCTATATATATAAATATACATATGTATGTACATATGAGTACTGCTGAGTACTGATTACACATCTTAATTTTTCGTAAGTAAGAGTGGATATTAGAAAAAAAAAATTGTTTAAATAAATATTATCAACTTTAACTTAACTTGAGTATACAGACTTAAAAATTTGTACATACACACTGACATACTACATATACGCAAATAGTTGCAACAGACACAAAATAAGAAGAACAGAAACACAATCAAAAACTCTTTATCCTTTAAAGCCGGGTGTGGACAGTTGTAAGTAGCCGCTCTAACATTTCAAAATGCATGCATCTATGTATGTACATACATATATAAACTGGGAAATCAAGAGTCTCATCTGTGTGTTTGTGATTTTAATATATTTTTTAGTTTGGTTTTGTTGTCCATGTAGTAGCAGTAAGCATGAGGATGGCTTCAAATGCTATGTATACAATTTATGTTGAACTTTGCATGCGACAAGTAGTTTGAAATAAAAATATTATTTTTTATGTACAACATTTGTATGTACATTAGACAGACTCTCATATAGTGATTTTGTTATCCCTCTAAAAATATGACCTGTTTTTTATATTCGTTGAAAGGATTGATTTTTGTAATTTTCTTAATTTTCTTTCAATAAATACTATCTTAAAAATACTACAATTTCAAAAATAACTACATTATACCCAATAGAGTTTGGAAATCAATGTTTTATGTTCTTCATAAAAAGTGGGTTGGTCTAATTTACATGTTGTATGTACATATGTATACATACATATGTAAATATATTATCATATTTTGACTTTAAACTCACTAAGAACTTTGGTAAAGAGTTTATACAGCTCGAAATTATAAGATGAGTGGGACATTTAAAGCCAATGTTTCCAACATGGCTTTTTATGACAACAATACGAAAAATATATAAAATGAGGATTTAACTTGACATCAAAATTAAAAGAAATATAAATCTTGTGTTTTTCTTTGAAGTCTGCACTTTTTTAAATGAACATTTGTGAACTTTTTGATACTTAAGGGATAGTGGGAATTCATTATCCGTGTATATTTTTGTTAAATTCCATTGAAAGAATGTTCAGTAAAAAATTTTTATATGTAAACGTGTCCTTTAGTTATGAAAAATTAAGTAATAAATATAGTAAATACCGTTTTCACAAAAAACGCAATATCTCGGAAACCAGAGCTAACTGGAAACTTTCATAATGATTTTTGAATTCAGCAGGTGAAAATATGTACATAGGAATCATCTATTTTTATTTGAATATTCAAATTGTGTACAATTTTATTCAATATTGTGTACTGTAATAATTTTCGTAATAAATTAGCCCCTTCTACATTAGCATTAGAATGAAACTATACATAACTAACATATTAGGATTGGTCCATAATTGACCCATACATACATATGTATATCACATTTATTCAAGGAATTAGTTTCAATAAGAAAATTGTTAACATTTTTTTAAATCAATCAAATTAGTTATTTTCATATAACTTTTAATTGCATGTATATTTAGGATATGTTTTGTATTATATTTTATGATAAAATGCATTAATGATGAATGGTGTAGGGAATCATATTGGCGATATCCGACAATACTTTCTACTTTTTCATACTTACATTGATGTTATGTTCACTTAGCACTGTATATGTCTCCTGTATTTCTCGTATAGTAATTTCGTGGGTGAGTGTTGTCGATTGAATTGTTGCAATAGTTTGCATCACCAACTTGAAATCATATAGTTCCTTTGTGGCTTTGTTTAGATTTTCACTAAGAACCTGTTTAGAAATAAAACATTTTAATTTTTATAAATTTTTCCATACATCTGTTATGTTTTTACAATTTTGTCATCAAATTCAAAAGTTTCTTGTACCTAAATAATGAATCATTTTTACAAATTCTGTGAGGATTGGACCATAATAAGATCTAATGACATAGATCAAATAATAAATTTTGATCGGGAAATCGACATTTGTATGCGTGAAGTGATGGACATCTGTCCAATATCACATAATTACAATAGACATTTCAATAATTTTCACTGTTTTATTTTATTAAAAAAATATTGTTCTCAAAAAAGTCATAAAAATTCCGTGATCTAAATGTAATGAATAAAAAATATACTACTGGGTCCAGTTACTTTTAATTAATATTTAAAGACAATTAATTTAAAATGTGCTTCATTAGTTAAACTGTTTTCACTAACGTTTTGTAAACATTATCTCAAGATTTATTATTAGAGATAGAACGTTTAATACAATCTTGATATTACACGGAACAAGAATATTGTGTATAACGGCTGTTATACACAATATTCGTTCTTTCAACAAATCGTATCGGAAGAATATACATAAGTACATATCATCAACTGAAGTGCAAAAAGGCGTAACAACCAAAAAATTTAAAATCGACAAAATTAAAAAGGGCGTAACAACAAATTTGTAATTTCCACAGTCCTAAAAAGCAACATAGTAGACAATGCCTGGCGGTACAGTTATATTCAAACGTTGTTACTGATATTGGGATACAATACTAGTAAGAAACTGTCGTTTTTAAACCAACAATAGTTTTCATTTTATTCAGTTTTTTGCCTCTCCTGTAAAATAGTTAAAAGTGTTTTTACGCTCTTTCTCTTTCTATTCTTACGAGCAGTACTATGTCAATGAAAAAAGAAAATTAAATAAAAAATAAGTAAAACTTGTCATACCATTTCATTCTTACTATTTTGCATTGCAACAATTTTTCATTATAGAGCTATAAGTTTTTGTATCGTTCTACAAGACGACTTTTGTACTGTTTGAATTCAGATACTTACTTTGATTTCAAATCGCATTTTATCCATATTGGCAATAGTTCTTTCTGCCAACTTTTCACCCAACTTAGTACGCCATTGCTGAGCATGTTGGCAAATAGTGTCCAGCAATGGTTTTAAATTTATGCGTATACATTGGACGTCGTAATGTGTTGGCAAATGCTGCAGCTCGTCCATGATATTTGCATAAAATGTAAATTTTTCGTCAAGCTGCACAAGTGGCACACCACGATTCACATATTTTTCACAAATTGTTTCCTTATCGAATGCCCACAGATTGTAATACTTTCTAAATCTATAAATAGAAAGAAGAAAATGCAAATGTGACTGTAAGAAAATGATATTGAACAGAAATTATAACAGAAATCGAAAAAAATATATTTATTTAGTAGCTACAATTTTATGGTTAGATATGTAAATATCCTGTAGTAGAATGCTGAATGCATTCTGTCACAAAAATTAAAAGATTGCTTACATATGTATGTACATCAGAAAATATGTACATCGAGGAAGTTTCTGATAGAAAATAAACTCAATTGTGATTAAAAAAACTTAATTATTATTTTTTGCATTTTTATAATTGTTTTACAATTTCTCTATCTTAAAAAGTTACACTAGTTTACAAATTAATACTTTTTGTTTGCTCATGGAATGAAACATATATGACTGACATCCATTCACCGAGATTTAAGATTATTTCAACGGAATTTTCAATATTTTTGTGATAAGAAAATCTTGTATCGTTTTTGAATTTTGTTTTATTTTTTATAATTCAAATGAAATTTTACATGCGTAAAGAGGAAGTGTTGTCGAAACGAAGATATAGGATCGCTTTAAAAATATATGTAACATACCCGAGGTGTGCTATTTTACAGACCCCTGACTACTCTCCTGGTGGACCTTCACTCGATAGCACTTCCTCTTTACACATGGGCAAACCACAATGCAGTATTTATGAGCATTAAATATGTTAAAATTAAATATATATTAAATATTTTGTAGTGGTTAAGTAATCATTTTATTATGCATTTATACGTATGTCTACCCCGGATTTTGAGTTATGATGTGAAGAATACAGCGCTATATAAAATACAGATCATTTCAACATTGACAGTGCAAAAAGAATTTAAAATCTGAAAATATAGCGGTAGTAACAAGAAGTAACAATAGTTATTAAACATAAACTACAATTAGATAATTTTATTCCTACTTTTGATGAGTTGACGATAGCAGTTAAAAACAAAGTAACAAATAAACATATAGCACGAGGTCGTTTCTATTTTACATGTTAATAGAATGCTTCTTTAAAAAGGGCGGCAGATAGTCTTCCGAAGGCTTTGTAACTGTCCTCATTGGAAATTATTCATTAGAACTTATAAAAGTTTTATAAAGCAAATTTTCATACAAAATTAGATACACAAACCTTTAATAGCAATACTTTTTAATTTTGGTAACAGTGGCTACGAAATTTTTGGTAGTTGGAAAATATAATTTTATTTACTTCGAGAAAATGTTTACTGCTACAATTTGAAGTTTTCAATAGCTACATTGAAACATTTAAATACCAATGACTGTACTACTGCCATTAAAATTTTTATTTTTTATCTACTACTGTAACTATTGCTACCAATAGTAATAGTAAATGATTTACTGCTAGCTTTGGAACATTTTTTAACTACAAAAGTAGTGATTGTTTATTTCTACAGCTTCTTGTAGTCTAGTTATGTATATTAACACTGATTTTCGGATTTCCATAATGGTATTTGTTTCAAACTATAATATTGGAATTTATCTATTTGACAAATTTTCATAAATTTCCAATAACATTTTATTATGAATTGTAATAAATATTTTATGGGGAAACATAATAAGGGTTTTCATATAAATGTTCAAAAGCCTCGCAAACTGTGCAATCTTTGCATTTTCGACTTTACATTGAATTTGTCACAAATTGTATGGGATTTTACTTCCACAACACTGATGCATTTGATCGCCTATTTGAACTGATAATTTTAAACTAAATTTTCACTTCAAAATAATACAGATAGCCATTTGTGCAAATGTGCATTTTTTGCTATTTATTCGACTGTAATTTTTTTTAATTTTGAACAAAATTTTCTTAAATTAATATTAATTAAAAATTAATAGTATTTAAAAACCAGAATCCTTTTTAAATGTTTTGAATTACATACATATAAAATATCAAAAATCACTCACCTTATTTAACACTTCTTTCCTTTTCGCCAACAATTTTATTTCCTCTTTTTCACAAACTTTTGATTAGCTTTTTATTTATTTTTATTTTTTCCTCTATTTGAAAGCTTTTTTATTTATTTTCACAACTTATTTTATTTTCTTAGCTTTTTTTCTTACAAAGATCTACACTTGATTTCCTTCTCATTTCCTTTGCTATAATTGAAAGCTTTTACTTATATGAAATTATTTTACTTCTTCATTTTTCTTTACAAAACTTATAAAAGCTTTTCTTTTCTCATTAACAACCTTTTTTCCACTTTCCAACCAACCAACTAACCAATGAACATAACACACTCTCATACCCGCACACCAACTCATACGTATTAACAACGAATGGCCCAACTAAAGCACCACGGCTCTGCATTTTATCTTTTTCCAAACAGTTTTGCTACACTATTTTTACTATTTACAAGTTACTTTTTAACAATATTTTTACATACAACGATTAACAAACGTTTAAATTTCATATTTATGCAAAAATATTAACAATTTATTAACTTTTAACCGGATTCATTAATTAAACGAACACTAATCACCAAACAACTGAACACTTGCGAAATTTCTAGAAAACTGAAAGAAAAAATGATTCTATTGCTATTGTTTTTTTTCTGCTGTCATTGTATGATTTGTACTAAATTATATACAAATATGTAAAGTGTTTGTTGTTATTTTATTTTGTTGTAGAGAGGGCGTAATAATAAAAAGTGCGTAAATAGATTAAGAGCAAGATGCTAAGGAGGAATTATGACGGCGTTGGGAAAAACATATCGTCACCTGAAATGCAAACGGCCCTAACTAACCAAAAATTCAAAATCGATTTTGGTGATTCTAATGTATTGCATCAAAACAAATGTCTACACCAAAAATTGGACTCCTTTGACCATAATTATCGATTTTATTGACAGAAAACAAAAGGCCCTATCTATCAACATTTAAATATTAAAGGTAAAAAGTCCAATTTATCCATTTTTATATACGCCATTGTCAACTATCATAACAAATGATAGGTTTCACTATTAAACAATTTGTTTATTTACTACAAATAAATCGCGTTGATAGAAACAAACTTTTCAATTTAAATAGTTTTTTGCTTCTCCTGTAAAATTTTAAAAATGTTAGATAGGGCCGTTTGGGTTTTAGGTGACGATATATTAAATGAACGAAAAATGACTATAACTCCAAAACTGATGATAATAGGAAAAAATTGTCTGATTCCGTAAATTTGATTCTCTACAAATTTTGTAACGACTCATAAATCCATAGGATGTATACAAAAGGAGATATTGCAAAAAAATTTATTATTTTGACCTATGACCTCCAATATTTCAATTATATAAGACATGATATCAGATATTATTCACCATCATATTTATAACATTAATTTTATGGTATGTGGCAATTTTTACTTTATTCGGTATTAAAACCTTAATTTACTAGACTATAAATGTGTTAAAATTAATAAAAAGCACTAATTTCCTATTGAAATTGTAAATGTAGCTATATAAAAACTCCTATAACTTCCAAACCCATTGGGATCCCATTCTAAAATTTTTACATAGTAATAACAATAAGTTTGTCTATTTGTCGTAAAAAAATTAAGAAAAACAAAATATCCTTTATCCGAAGACCTGTCGAACGAAACATCATTTGTTAAAATCGGATTACTGGTTCCAAAGTTATTCAGTCATCAAAATACCCGAGATGCCCTACTTTAGAGGAACATAAAATATGAACCGAATGAGTTAAGGATCCAATTTATAAGGCATTGAAAGAAACTAAATCGAAAGGGATGAAAATTTGATGTGGTCGAAATGTCTATGGAATTACCCTGTAAGAACATTTTTACTTCATAAACTAATAAAAGAGAAATGCAGCACAGGAAATTTAAATTTTTATTCGTTGAAAGTGTTTATTAAATTGACATTTTTTAACTCTTTCACGTATACGGGACAACAGTGTCTCAAGATTTTTTAAAATTTTCTCTATTTTGAGCATAATTTTGAGTTCACAGCTACGGTAAATGGTTATTTCCAAAGAAAATAAGTTATTTTTTAGAATTCGATGTCACTACATGCTAAAAAGGATAATATCCTGCGATATCCTTCGAAAACGCTTTTTCCATTTTTCATCAAAAATTATCAATAAATGTACGGCAAAATAAAGTGTGTGGCGAAGTCATATCCAAGTCCAGCGGTTTAGTTTTGTGCGTGAAAGGGTTAAATGATCTAAGTAATAGCATGATTCAGGTATCTTTATGTGTACCAATTTTTCACTAAATTGGGCTACGGGAACTGGTCGAAAATTCTGTTAAAAAATTGTACCATTACAAACTAACAAAGCAAGTTAAATAAAAGCTTTTAAAAAGATGTTATACTCGAATGTTTCAAATTAAAAAATGGGTTTATTAACCATTTTTTGGGCATATGAAACCTGTACCTCGTTTCTGTAATTTTCTCGAATCGCGAAAAAAACTTAAAATATAGTAGTCTTCCAGTTTTTACTCTGTGACTCTGATTATTTTTAAAATTTAATAAGAAAATTTCTTTCTTTCTGTTTTACACAAGATGATCATGAATTTTTCGACAGATTTTCTCGATGCGAGAATTACAGAAACGGGGCACTGAGAGCCGAATCGTGGGACTCACCTTTAAAATTTCTTAAAATCACCTATAAAGGACTTCAAAGTTTTAAAAATTAAAATATTTTAAAATACTTTTACTGATCAAAGAATATTAAGTAAGCGAACAAGATTTGGGAAATATTTGGTATTATTTTTTTATCCTGTCAAAAAGATGCCAAAAATGTCTTTTAAAATTTGTATCCTTCCATATCTATTTAGATTTTCAGTATAATTATTTTAAACAATTTTTGAAAGACATTTTTTATATCTGTTGATCCTGACAGAGTAAAATAAAAATAACACAAAATATTATTCCTTTTTCGCTTGACATCAAATTTGACATTGTTTGATCAGTAGAAGTATATGAAAATATTTTTTTGAAATTTACTTTTTAAAACTTTGAAGTCCTTTAAAAAGGA